GAAGACCCAGGGGACGGCCAAGATTTAACCTGGTGCAAATATATGGAAGGAGTCTGTTCGAGACTCCATTTGTCTTTTGCGGAAGCTCAGACTCTGGCACAGGATCGGGAACGTTGGAAGCTCTCTCTGGCGTTTCTGCCTCCGCGACCCGAAAGGAGAAGAAGCGACGGATGATGTAGATGAACAGTAGCAGACTCGAGTGCCAACTAAATTTGTTGACATTCGTAGCATGTACACCGACAAACCGTGATGTACTCGGTAGTTACGACAAATCGATATGGATAGATTAATAAGCATTACGTCGTGAAGTCATTCATTTTGCCACCGCCACAGCTATGAGTTGGTGATCTGATTCATTGGCGCGGTCTTGCGTAAAGTTTGTTGTAATATGTTTAGTCAATTTTCCCACACTGTGTAGCCTTTCGTTGTGCAGATTAGATATGTTCATTATCATGGAATATTTTTTTCTAATCCTCTGGACTACAGTGGTTTGCATTTAGTAGGCCAGTTAATTTCTGATGAGGCCTATTCAATCGGACGGTGTTTAAGTGCTGTTTGCGTTGTCCATGTTAGTTTGTATGCAATTGCGGCATTGCATGCCATACGTTCTAAGAAAAGAAATTGAGAGGCGGATCTTAAGGAGACACCATCCTTTGTTGCTGATCTTCAAAATTGCTGTTATCGAATCATAAATATTCCTCAAGTGACCGTTAAACATTAAATAATTGTTTTTGCGGCCAAGTCGGTTTTAATTGTCCCAGTAATTCATGTGCTTCATAAACGTCAGTGAGGCAATAACTACAACAGCGGATGTCGGGTACCTGATGATGCGTTTCGAACCGAAGGTGGCGGAGTAAACAGGGTCAGTGGCGTTTGCAATTTCCACGTTTATGATGCCGTTGGTAGCTTCATGCCAATGCGTGTCATGTAGTCTAGGCTAAAGTGATAGGAAAAAGCAAGCAAAGCCCAGAACGTCATTCAAATCAGCCTCTTAAATATTGATAGCTTCGTGGCAACGGAAGCTGTCAAAACTAGCGGGCTGATTTTCTTCGCGTTGATTCTTGATGAGCTATTAAAGGGCTAAAGGCTAAAGCACATTGCATTTTGCCCTCAAGTTTTGGCAGCAATTCCTCAATTCGTTTAGTTTTGATATGTGAGTGTGCTATGGAATCAGCATCATGTTCCTTAGATTGTAAAGTTACCAAAGTAGAGAAATTATCTGGCTGTTGTACAAATACTACTTAAACCTAATGGTTATTGCTGAACTGGTGTTTTGGTTTATGCCGAGATCAGAAAATAATTCTGGCAATAGGAGGTCAGTTGAAGAACTTAAAATGATAGGAAAAATTTCTTTCTTTCTAGCGTCAGGAGTAAGGGAGACAACCAGCAATGTGTTCAGCCCACGGACCTTTAGCGTCTACACGTTATCACTTTCGTGCTTGCCATTATCTCCTCCATTACTACACGTAATAAAGAATGATAAAATTGTCGATTTTGGACTCATAAAAATCCATAAGGTCGGCATTCATCTGGAATCTATCATATTTAACGCCTAACGTACCTACTCAGTCGGTTCTTAGTCACTATCGTGAAAAAGGTCGTCAGATCCAACAACAACAACAACAACAGACGCATTTAAAATGCCGTGGAACTCAATTATTCATATTCAGCGGGAATCGAAAGCTCCCCACACAACATCGAGCTTCCATTTGGTCACCCCTTCGCCTACGGATTGTGGCAATGTTCTTTGGTTGAGCATACTTTTGTGCAACCCATGCCTGAGACGCAGTTTTGTGTCCTATGCAATGCAGACGCTTAAATAACATGGCTCCATGGTCTTGCTTAAATGACTCCCTTCGGTGTCTAGAAGCAAGGGGACATGGCAACGAGCTGATGGTGTAAAGTGAGAAATGGATTTTTCTTTCTTTACATTGCGCACTCGCTGTTTCAATTCGGTATCATTATGTTTTTTATATGAAATATTCAGCGACGGTATCGAAACAGCCCACAACATCAAGGTTCTATTTTGAAACGCGGTAGTGTTGGATGACTTTTTTATTGTTTTTCTTCCAGTCATTTCCCTGTCGTTTTTAATCGTCGTGTAACGCTAAAAGAGCTTAAGAGCAGAGACACCATATTTTATTACTCCGACCACTAGATGTCGCATCTGGTGATGGCGGACGCATAATTGGGCGAAATATCAATGTTCCTCAATTAGATTTACCGTGAAAATTATCTATAGTAGATCACCCCAACATTAATACTTCACGAATGAGCCTCTGTACGTAGTTGTTGAATTTTGCCAGCACGAGTTATGAAGTTGCCACCTGTTTTCTCCATTCGCTGCACTGTAATAGCAAATGATTCCTCAAGGATAAAATTTCATTACTTACAGTACCGTTCAGTTTACTCACTGTTTCCTACAGGGCATTTAAGCAGATCATGCAATACGCTCCGTACTAATTCATGTTTTCATGCTTATGTGGGATCAAGCTGCTCATAAAACATGGTGAGTAGCGGATTGAAACTCCAGCGATCGAAACGACGCTAGTTGCAGTCAGTACTGCTCATGTTCCGCTATCATGGAGCGATGGTCGACATAAAGTCCGCTTTTCCCGAGGCAACTAGTAATAAAGGGAAGAGGCAGTACGCCAAGGAATCTGGTTTTGAGGAGATTATTCATCTGTTAACGCGTTTTGGTATGAGAACAAAGAAATAAGAGGACATTATCTTTGGTGTCATTAATATTTGTCATCTGTAGAAAGGATCAAACTACGTGTAAGAGCAATTATGAGGTCCTATTGAAGAAGAGGGAGGTTGATGAAGGTTGATGCGCGACATGCCGAACTGCTCAAAATACTCGAAATATCTGGCACGCCATCAATGTCATTATTCATGATCTCTCAATAGTCCAAAATTAACGTCGACATCGCAGAAAATTGGCGTAATCGAGTTACAATGTGAAACATTTTGCAGAACGTATTCCAGAACCGCTACTGAGGCCGTGAGAGTTTGCAGTGAATCATAGAACAACTGAGAGAGAGAGCTCTTTTTGCCTCCTAATAGCGTCCCTTTTAAGGAATAACATTTTGGCCAGATTTCAAGAGAAGTTTCTTTCAAAACTGTGTACGATGACCTCGCTTCGTGGTGCCCTTTTCCTCCAGCACTGAATATAGCGACCTACGGACAAGACTGACAAAATAACTGAATGCTCTTGATGGCCAAATCTATACGTTGAACGAATTAAACTCCTGTTCATCGACGGGGTGGTCATGACCTGTGATGCATGGAGTCTACTAGAGGCTTTGCCAGAATAGAAAGTGACAAAATTTTCTACCACCCCTTCCAATGTCTCCCTCCAAGTCTGAACGTCCATTCTAAGCACCATTTCGCTTGCAACAGTCGCTCGGACAAAACGGAAGCAGCATCTTTCCGCTGTTGGTCACACATGAGAAATTTTCGCTCTGGTTCCCATCGTACTGTAGCTGTTCCTGTGTGGTCTTGCAAATAACGTTTTCGCTGTTTCCATTCTGCCGTGCTAAGCTGAGTATCGCGAGCGTTAAATATAATTAAACCCTCGTATCGCTTCGCTGGCCGCCGACCATTGGCCCCTGGAGTCGAATGACTCAGCGGCATGGATTGTACGCAATATACACCCTGTTTACGGTTACAGTATGCCAATGAAATTTATTATTAATTGGTTGGAAAGCAATTATTTTCAAACTGCGTTGAGCGCCTGATTGTAATTTGTTGCGAGGAGGCAGATTAATAGCGGAAATGAGTGGCCCGCCCGCTCCAAAGGTCTCATTTAGCCAGGATAAACAGGAACACCCACACACATAACAGCGATGACGTTATTACAACCATGTTTGACCTTCATTCGATGGGCATGTATTTGCCTTGCGACGTCGAAAGCACACAAATCCCTGTCCATGCTTCCGGCATCAGTGAGACGAA